TTCTGGTTCATCACAAGGTGAAAGCAATGCTGGCCGTCTCTGGTGTGCGGCTGACAACCCAGTGTGGTATCATCAGGGTTATTCCCTGGGTTCTCGTAATGATTTAAATGATGCAACTACTTTCAGAGTTAACTCTCTTCCAGAAGAGCTGGAAGAGATGCCAATGAAATACTATTTTTCCCCTCTCTTTTTTAGAGTTTGAGTGATTCCCTCCTCTAGCCCACATGGTGATGCAGGTTGCCTTGGGTTCCCTTTTTCCAGTTGCTTGCAACATTTTGAGTTTTAGCTCATTACTAAGTCCCTGGCCTTTTTACCTGAATGCCCAACATTCTGATTTTCCTTGGGTTATCTGATCGTTTTTAAACTTTCAATTGTTCAACAGCACTGCTCAGCTCAGATTTGCACCGGACAGTGACAAACGCCCAGCTCATCAGGTCAAGGGCAAAAAGCGCGTGGTCTGCTGAACCTACTGACAGGTGCAAGGGGCCCAGCTGCCTCGAAGTGCACAGGTGGGCTGTCGCTAAACGCTCGGGAGCCCTGAACAGCAATGCCTTCCGTTGAAGAGACTTTCGCTGCTTTCTGGCGACTTCCGTTTTTTTCACAAATAAATTGTTTATCATTATTTCTAATGGAGTCGATTCGCAAACTAGATAATCTGCCCCCACATGCTGGAAAGCGACTACAGTAGTAAAAACACTTCACTCCTCTCTGGGCTTCAGTTTCCCTCTATGTGATAACATGATGAGGACGCTCTTCGACCTGAGCTACCATTAAGTGACATAGCTCTACCATAACCCTCAAGACTGTGGGGTTTCAGGCCATAATCCCTCCTTTACCACTATGTAAATGCAAGTTAGGAAATCTGTAAAGGAACCAAACTTAGGGCACTGTCAGATCAGCCTTTCTTCCCCCAAAGAATCCTTTTGTTCTGCAACAATGATGACATCACGGTTATGTTGTGAATGGTGCCCGTTCCGTTGACAAATCTGGCAAATCGCATCTACCATAACCAAGTGGGGAAGAAAGAAAAAGCCCACCCTACTGCTGTGTGCGGGCAGGGAAATGTTATGAAGACATTTAAGTATTGCCTTGGGGACTTGGTCTAGGAAGGAACAGACTCAAGCAGATCCCAAGAGGACAGCCAAGTTGGGGCAGGTGGCTTGACCTTGACTTCCTCACTTGTGAAAGAAGAGAAACATGGGCTGGTGGCCAGAATTAACCAGGGTGATGCCCAGAGCCTGGCACCTCCCATGTGCTCAGCTTGGGTTAGCTATTAGAAGGAACAGACTCAAGCAGATCCCAAGAGGACAGCCAAGTTGGGGCAGGTGGCTTGACCTTGACTTCCTCACTTGTGAAAGAAGAGAAACATGGGCTGGTGGCCAGAATTAACCGGGGTGATGCCCAGAGCCTGGCACCTCCCATGTGCTCAGCTTGGGTTAGCTATTACCACAACTGTCATGTTTGATTCAAATACAGATGTTGGCTCAGTGTGGACCGTCCACATGGAGATTAACAGGGATTTGTCTCTGGAACCCACTCCTCCTTCCACAATGTGTCATTTAGACCTTTCGTTATGCAGAGTAGCCGATTCACTCCTCACAATTCAAATGGATATTATTTCTAATATCAATACCAAAAATACCCATAGCTCACATATATCCGTGTCCGTTGAGAGCCAGGCTCTGTGCTAACTGCCTGCATGGATTACTTAATTTAATCCCCACGATATCCTACGAGGCGGGTGCTACATAAGACCCCATTTACAGACAAGGAAAGCAAAGCTCCAAGGGATATGTAATTTGTCCAGAGTCATACAGATGGAAAGTAGTAGAGCCGGGATTTGAACCCAAGCCACCTGACTCCAGAGCACGACTTCTTAAGCAGGATATTTAGTCTTCAAAGCAACAATCGTTCATCAAGCCCCTGCTACACTACAGATTATGTGAGGAGCGGGGGTAAAGATATATGCGGTATAGCTCATTGTTCTGAGTTGACTAGCATCCCCCCAAATTTCACGTCAACCCAGAACCTGAGAATATGACCTTATTTGGAAACAGGGCCTTTGCAGATGTAATCAAGTAGAGATGAGGTCATACTGGATTAGGATGGGCCCGAAAGCCAGTGATGGCAGCCTTATAAGAAGAAGGGGATTTAGACATGTGCATGCAGGGCAAATCCCATGGAAGAGTGGAGGCAGAGAATGGAGCGGTGCCTCCACAAGCCCAGGAGGCCAAGGACTGCCTGCAGCCACCAGAAGCCAGGAGAGGGGCATGGAACCGATTCTTCTTCGGAGCTTCCAGAAACAACCAACCCTGCCAACATCTCGATTCAGGATTTCTAGCCTCCTGACCCGTGAGAAGATACAGAGGAGCTGCTTTAAGCCACACAGTTTATAGTAATTTGTCATGGGAGTCTGAGGAAACAATACCCTAATAAAAAAGAGACAATAAAAAAGACACTTTCTCAAGTCACCTGGGGACCCTGTTTGGCAACAGGAGTTCTTGTCTGAAAGTCATGGTTCCCCACCGGCCATGAGTAGGCAGGGGCCAAGCCAGTGATGAATCAATCCGTGGCCTCACAGGAAGCCTGCTTTCCTGTCAACAAAGCACAGAGAGAAAAACCACCGCGGACACAGACATCGGGCCAGAGGGCCGGCCGCCTGGCCCCTGTCACAAGGCTCAGATGGAGAGAATATTTTCACAAAGGGAGGAAAAAATAGGAGAGCCCACCAAACGGTGCTTGCGTCTGGATCCCAAGGTGCCATTTCTGCTCCGGATGAGCCGGGACCGGTGGGGAGAGCTCAGAAGGGGAGGGTCCAGGCCTCCAAAATCTCGGTTTCGATAATGGGCCAGATACTTCCCCACAAACCCACTCGACACTAAAAGCAGAAGTTGTTAAGTATTTGGCAATCCAGTTCCCTTTGAGGATCTAGTCAATGCTGTGGATTAAATCTGTTCTCGGAAAGAGAAAAAAATTCCAACACGCAAAATTTGGGGTGAGTGACATGTCAAGGGATCTTGACCTAAAGCCCATTCACCGAAAAACAATGATGTATAAATTTCCTCCTGGGCAATAGGCGCTGTGCTCTGTGCTAGGAATACAAGAGGGGCAGAACAGATGAGGCATTTCCCTCCCGAAGGCCAGAGCTAGAAGAGAGGTGTGTGATTTTCCTTGGCTGCCACAACAAAGGAGCACAAACGGGAGGCTGGAAATGACAGAAATGTAATTCTCTCATAGGGCAGGAGGGCTGGAAGTCTGAAATCAAGATGTCAGGAGGATTGGTTCCTTCTGGAGGCTCAGAAAGAGAATCTGTCCCGTGCCTCTTTCCTGGCTTCTCGCTGTTGTCAGCGATCCCTGGCATTCCCAGCTCGCGGACACATCACAGCATTCCCTGCCTCTGCCTTCCCATCACCTCCGCTGGGTGTCTCTCTGTGTCCTCGCCTCTTCTTATAAGGACACTAGTCATTGGATTTATGACCCACCGCCAATGGAGGTCAGATCCATAACTAAGGGGCACCTGGGTGGCTCAGTCAGTTAAGCATCTGCCTTCGGCTCAGGTCATGATCCCAGGGTCTTGGGATCGAGCCCCTGGTCCGGGTCCCTGTTCAGCGGGGAGTCTGTTTCTCCCTCTCCCCTTGCTTGTGCTCTGTCTCTCTTTTTCAAATAAATAAATAAGATCTTAAAAAAAAAAAAAAAGATCCATAACTAAATACATTTGCAAAGTCCCTGTTTCCAAATGAGGTCACATTCTGAGGTTCCAGGTGGGCATGAATTGAGGGGGAGCACTCTATTCCACCCAATACGGGTGGTCATACGGTTACGCAGTCCCCGCAAGGAGCCGGCAGAGAAGCCAGCAGCATCCGAGAAAGCTTTCCAGAGGATCTCGGGAGGCACGGGGGCCCCAGATGGTGAGTAGAAACTAACTAAGCAGAAGAAGTAGAAAGCGCATCAGGAAGACGGAGTCACCTAGCTGAGACCCAGACACAGGGAGGCACCGGGTGAACAGAGGGATCGCACAGAGAGCCAGGCTGGTGGAGGGGCTGGTCTTGTAAGCCACTCTCCAGAGTTCGGATTGGATCCCTAGGGCCACAAAATGCCTTTGAAGGATTGAAAGCAGAGGAGTGTTCCTAGAAAGTTCACTTCAGCTGAGGTGGGGCGGATGGACTGGAGTGGGGGAGGCCAGATGCAGGGACCCCCGAGGGTCTGTATCTCCGGGGAAGCTCCGGGCTCCTGGATACAAGTGGCTGAGATATTGTGGTGAAGCCTCCCATGGAGTCCTAACCCGCTAGCTGGAACGGTTCCCACCGAGCCGGACGGAGGAGTTGAACGCAGCACAAGTTGGGAGCTGAACTAGCTAGCCGGTCAGATCGCCATCAGCCCAAGATGCGTACCCAGAAGTCTGAACGCTCTGATACGTGTTCTCTTTCTGAGCGGAAAGGGGCTTATGAACATCCAGACCAGTTCGAATGCACAAGCCCTTCCCTTTACGGTCCCCTGGAGTTACGTGTGCCCGTCCACAGACCAGTAAGTCCCGTCTGCCCACAGATAAGTCCTCTTACCTTTATGTGTCTTGCTGACTCAGTTGCTCTTCAAAGGTCACCTTCTCCCCTGCACCCCCAGGCTGGGTTCCGCAGCCTCCCTTGCAGACTCCAAAAGTCCCGGATGCAGGCTCATGTACTCGGTTGTAATGCCTACTTTCCTCTTAACCTGTCCCCTCCCCCAGACGATAAGTACCAGAGGTAACTTGTTCACCTCCGTATTCCCAGCTCCTAATACACACACACACACACACACGCACACACACACGCACCCCGAATGTTATCAGATGGACGAATGGATGGATTTCTTCAAGATGCTGTACTGGCTTCAAACCAAATAGGTCAATCAATTAACTAAGTCGACATGGACCCATCAATTGTTCTCTAAGTGCCTTACGCTGTCCCCTCCCGCGGAGAGTCAGGCGTATAAAGAGATGCTGGCTCGGCATCCTCAAGACTCACCTCATTCCTTCTGCAGCCATCTTATCAAGGTTGACAGTGTCCTTCGTTTCTGCCCAGTTCGCCCCCAGGTCCCCCCACCCCATGTCATCTGCCAAAATGATCACGAAATTTGGCTTCCGGCCTCTTGTTTCCCCACTGAAGGAAAAATCCACAAGGGGATACAGGCCTCCCAAGAAAGTCACCCCCACAAGCAGAACCTTTAGAAAAAGCCAGCCCATGGTGGGGAGGGGAGGGTAATCACTGTCCGGAGTGACGGTGGGCCGCAGCTAAAGATTTTTCCGAGGGCCCTCCTGCTCTGTTTCAGGGCAAGGAGTTTGCAAAAGATACTGGTGGTGGCGGTCTTGTTGGGGGTGGTCCCTAGAAGGATGGTGGGGCTACAGAAATGAGGCCCCCACCTGGAATCCTCATTCGAGAGAGTCAGGAAACTTGCAACCCCGAATGTGGTTTGCCCCTCTGCAGCTCCGAGGGAGGACCGGCTGTGTGCGACAATCAGCCCTCAGTGTCCACAGCTCTTTGGCCACTTAGCGAAGGAGCCCTCTGTGCTCAGGGATGTTAGTGCCGTGCATCTGTTCAGGACTCCAGCTGGTGAGTGCAGGATAAATTCTCACATCTGCAGAACACCTGGACGTTCTAGAAGCCGCAGTCAGCCTCGAATGAGTTTCTCAGTTCCAGATGGTTGAGGGCTTCATGTTTCTGTAAGGTTTCCTGAAAGAACAAAAATTGACAAGAAAACAGAGTTAAAACTGCCAGTGCAGCTGTGTTTTACTCAGTAGCTTAGGAAATAATCTCTTTCCCACGCCAACAGATGTTTTCCTTCTCACTCGAATATGTAGCTGGTTCATCAGTTTCTCCACCTGAGGAATCGTAATGATGACAATGTTTGCAATGGACCTATAATCATGGGGTTGGGAGCGCCATTAGGGATGAGGTCTCTCAACTTACTCACTACAGGGATGAGGACACTGAGGCCCGGTGTTCTGGAAGGGGCAAGGGCCAGCACCCAGCTCTGCGAAATCCCAGTTCTCCCCCACTCCCACCCCACCACGCTTCCCTGATTCACAAGAAATCCCCAAACTAATCATGACCTTATCAAACCCATTGAAAATTCTAGAAGAAAGAGTGAGACCTTTGTGACCAAGACATGATTCTTTCTAACAGTCATGCCGTCAACTAATATTTCTATATAAAATTCCTGATGGAAAATGATTTGAGAAAAAAAGAAACGTAAAGAAAATTAATGCTATAATCTAGGTGGAGAATATATGGGTACTTCAGGTAGAATGTTCAATTTTGCTGTTTGAAATGTTTCACAATAAAATGTCAGAAACACCTTTCCAAAAATTGTTAATGGAAATTGTCCCTTTACATCTCGACAATGTAATTTTTATTCAAATCTAAAGACATGCTCAACCAGGGCTTCTCTCACTTGGATGTACCTACAAATCAGCTACAGGTCTTATCAAATGCAGATTCATAGGAAAGGCTGGGGTATTTCTAACAAATTCCTAGGTGAAGACTATATCTCTAGCCCTTAAATCACACTTGGAGTACCAAGAGGCTTAGAAATAAAAACATCATGATTCTTGTCCAAGAAGAAAACGAACCTAAACTGGAGATGCTTAACCTACTGGAGATAATGCAACTTCAGTGGACAAGCACGAAAGCCATAAATCAGGTCGAATTTTGAAAAACAGGAATCAAAGTTTACGTTTTCAACTGCAGGTTGCAAATGGGAACCATAGAATAAAACCATATCATCCCTACTTCACTTGAAAGCCCTAAATTTATAAGGGTAGTAAGGAGGCACAGACTTGAAATTCTGGACCAAGTGAAAAAACTATTGGGACACCCAAACCATTGAGAGGATTAGGGGAGAACCAATTTGTAATATATAAAGATGCTACTGGGGCTGGGATTATGATAGACGTGATGTGCAGTTGTGTATCTCTTCCCTTAAGGAAGGAATGCACAACTGAGAGAGCCAGCCAGCCAACCCAACTGCCAACGCAAGCGGATGGGGGTGGTTGGAGGTATGTAAATTCTGCAAGACCCAGATAAACTCAAAAGGTTGGGCAGATACATACTTAATCAAAATAAAAGGGAGTTCAAGTAAACAGTCATGGTCTTCTGGAGGCCAGTGAATCAATTGTTCAAAAATGCAAATTCTTCTGTTTTCCAAGAAGAGACTTATTTTTTCAAACTCAATTAAGATTCAACCAGTATTTGTTGATCTTGAGGCCCCAAAGACTTCTCCCTTTCTAGAAGAAGAAAGAGACCTTGCACAAGGAGGGCACCCAACAAACACCTGTTGACCTGCTGGTTGATTCCCAGCCTCATTCTACTGGCTTCTGACCATGAGCAACAATCATAGGAGGCTTTTCTTCTTAAAGCTACTTAGCTTGGAACTCTAGAGTGGCCTCATTCTTCGTCAATAATCCATTTTGGAATGACCCAACACGAAGGACTCCAGGGGAAAAAAAAATTCGCTTAAGAAAAAAGCTAAAATTAAGGTGGGAACATAAATAAACAGATTGTTTTTCTTAACAGTTCCATGATAAAACATTCCTTTGAGGATTTTCAAAGGGAATCATTAATACTTAAAAATTTCGCTGAATGGAAATAAGCTAATTTAGTCAGTACGCCATTGCATTATCCTTCATGCCCATACCTCCAGGGAGATATTTAATCTTTTCCCATTTATTTTTTTTAACTACAGTGAAAATGAAAATCAGATATTCAAAGAGTGGACCCAAAGCAATGGACTTTGATTAAGATCCAGGCTGACATTATGGAAAACACGATGGCAGTTCCTCAAAAAATTAAAAATAGAATGACCATATGATCCAGCAATCGCACTTCTGGGTATCTATCCAGAGAAATGAGATCAGTATCATGAAGAGATATCGGCACCCTGTGTTGACTGCAGCATTATTCACAATCACCCAGATATGGGAACAACCTTAGTGTCCACGAGTGAATGAAGAAAGAAAATGTGCTGCATATAGAATACACACACAATGGAATAGTATTCAGCCTTTAAAAAGAAGGATCGTGGAAAAGAAAGTTGTTGCCATTTGCGAGAACCTCGATAAACCTGGAAGACATTATGCCGAGTGAAATAAGCCAGGCATAGAAAGACAAATACTGCATGATCTCACTTATATGTGAAATCTAAAAAAAGAAGTCAAACACATAGAAGCAAAGGGGAGAATGGTAAGTGTTAAATGTCCTCACCACAAAAAATTTAAAACATATGTAACTGCATGAGGTGATGCGCATGTTAATGAGATTGTGGACATCATTTCATACCGTTTATGTACATCAAAATATCACATCGTACGCAGTAAACACATACGCATTTTATTTGTCGATCAGACCTCAGTGAAGCTGGGGGAAAGTTTTTAAAAGACGCAGGCTGAGAACTTTGTGCTCAGTGCCTCATCTGAGGTCCTCTTCCCCACTTTCTTTATGCATCACCCTGCCCCTCTCAGAAGCGAGAGTGGACACAGACAGGGATCATGTCTGTGGGCTAAGGAAGAAAAGGGGAGTCTGGCAAATAGAGCGTCCCCTCCTCCCTCCACTGGGCTGGAAGGAACTTGACCACCGTACTCAACCAACCCCCCAAGGAAGACCCATCTGCTCCATAAGCAGAACAAACTGGAATAGATCCCTGCTGAGCACAAGTATGAACCCCTGGCCATGCCTCGATGCTCCTCGGGCAGCCCGAGAGTGAACTTGAGTTGCCCCGCCGCTCAGCAATGACCTGTCTTCTTCTCTACGACCCCTGCTGGAAAACAAGTCTTCTGGGTCTGCTCAGTGTTGGCCTTTCTTTCGGTTCCCGGCTCGCTTCTGGGGAAAGGTGCTCATGAGCCGCAGAATGACCGGCAGGCAGCGGTCGGTCAGAAGGGCTGAGGATAGAATGGCATGAGTCAACCTGAAGACGGGGCTTGCGGTGTCTGAACCCCAGGCCTGGCTCCCCGAGGACCTCCCTGCGGCCAAGCAGCCTGCTAGAGGGCCTTGAGAACAGCTGAAATAACAAGAAGGTTGGGCAGAATTTCTGGCAGAGGGCTCTGTTGGTTTTCCAGAGACAAAGCTTCTGATGAGCCGAGGCCAAAAAAGACAGAGGCGCAGGGAGAGTGTGATGCGCGGGCGGCGGGGGGCGGGGGGGTGGCCAGGAGGCACCTGGGGTCCCAGCTGCCCCCACGTAGTCTGCACCAATCCCCACCCACCCCTCCCCATGCCTTGTCATCCCTCCAGCAAACGTGCACTGAGCTACCAGTCTCAGTCTAGGCGCTGTGCGTACAGCAGCGAAAGAAACACAAAACCCCTGCCCTCGTGCGGCTTCCTTTCTCGAGGGGGGTGGAGGTGGGGGCGGGCGGGGGAGAAATGAAATGAGTAAAACGTCTGTGCGGGGAGAAAAACTCAAGGCAGGAAGCAGCTCACGAGGTGCACAGTGAAGGAGGTCAGGGGACAGCCTCATGGAGAAGGATCCTTCCAGAAGGCTCTGCAGGGGATAAAGGAAGAAGCAGTGCAGCATTCGGAGAGGAATGCCAGGCAGGGAGACCAGCAAGCCAAAGGGCTGGTGCATGTGAGGAGCAGCAAACAGTGGAGGAGGGAGAGGGAGTTCTGACCTACATATCCCAGAATTCAGCCCCTGCTCTGCCGGGAATAAACAACGGGGTGGCAGGGAAGGGAAGATGAGAATCAGGAGTCAGCTGCACCAGTCCAGGTGAGCCCAGGTGAGAGGCAATGCTGGGGGCGGCGGGGGCAAGCCCAGTGCCCGGGGTGCCAAATTTAAGGAGGCAGCACTCCATCTCGGTACCCACCTGTGCTCACGTGACTCCAACAGTGAGCACCTCCTGGAATTTTGCCTCACCCAAATCCAGGTCCAAGTGGTGAGGAAAAATCCAGTTACCTTGGGAACCAAGACAGTTTTTCAGGTTTTTTAATGTCTATGTGTAATAAAGATCCTCATGGGAAAAAACAAACAAACAAACAAACAAACGTCCTCTTGGTCCCTTCCTTTGCCCTGAGATCCTACCTAACGTGTCAGTTCGGGGCTGCCCCAACTCAGAAAGATTGCTTTCTTAGAGTGTAACTGGGGGTCTCAGTCTTAGCTCAACAGAAGAGGCAAAGGCAATTTCTTTTCCTGTTTCTTTTTCTTTCAGTTTTGTTGACATGTAATTGACATACAGCACTGTGTAATTTTAAGGTATTATAACAAAATGACGTGACTTATATATATTTTGAAATGATCACCGAAATAAGTTTAGTTAACATCCACCATTTCCTGGAGCACTGGGTGGCTCAGTCGGTCAACTGTCTGCCTTTGGCTCAGGTCATAATCCCAGGGTCCTGGGATCGAGCCCCGCGTCGGGCTCCCTGCTCAGTGGGGAGCCTGCTTCTCCCTCTCCCCATCCTCCACTCATGTTCTCTCTTGCTATCTCTCTCAAGTAAATAAATAAAATCTTTTTTAAAAAATCCATCATTTCCTATAGATACAAGAAAAAAGAGAGAGAGAAATGGTTTTTCCTCATGGTGAGAACTTTTAGGATCTACTGTCTTAGCACCTTTCAAATAGACCATATAGCAGTGTTAACTATAGTCATCATGTTGTGGTACGTTATGACCCCAACACTTATTTATCTTACAACGGGAGCAAGCCAGACCTATTATAGGGAATATTCCTTCTGTGAACCCAACAA